TTGTAAAACAATCAATAATGAAACCTTGAAAAAGAATACCAAGTGTGAAGTAGTTTCATTTCCAAATTCAATGGAAATTGATATATATAATATAGGAATTAAAAGAGTTTTACCATTTTTTCTTTATTTTAGATTACATAATTGGAAGTAATTAATTTTTCCTTTCCTTTAACTTATTTAATCTGCAAGGCATGTGACTTAAATGAAAAATCTCATGTTTAAAAGGGAGTACTATTCTTAACTCATTAGTTAAATGAGTCTAACTTGTTCCAAGATTTGATGGTGTATAATTGAATTCCAACTTTTTTTGTGGAACCATGTTCTTAAAATTTCCGCTTTGCAAATGACCTTGACTTCTCACAGTGAATTAGTTTACATATATATAATTGGAACTTCCTAAAATTTTGGTTACAATAAGAATTGTTACAACATGCATGTCGTTGCAACATGTTCACCATTCTTTCCATTCCTGTGTCAGGGTATGCTGATGCTACAGTTTAATCCGCATCAAATTGATGGAATTTTGTACTTGGCACTAGCACTCTTATCAGTGAACAATGCAGGAGAAGAATACATGAACAAGTTTCTCATTGATCAGCTGGCAGTTAGTGAGGAACAGGTTACAGATGATGCGGGAAACCCAAATAATCCAATAGATGGTTGGGGGTTTATTGCAAGGGTTGCAGGGGCTGCCATTGGCGGGGTGTTGACATCATCAAAGCTTCCAATACGAAACTGGCCTTTTATTCCAGCAATTTTGGTGGGAATTGGTTGCGTATTTTTCTATTCTTACAGAATATGCTATGAGGTATCTTCAAGAGATCATCAAGGGGAAAAGCATGAATTAAGGCCGCTTCTGAAATTACTCCCCCTGTGGGCTCCTTTCCTTATATATTATGTTGTTGATGCAGCAGGTAGCACCTTGTTCAATTATGAAGTTTATTTGTATATTATACGCAGTGATCAAGATTATCTGTTTATAATACAGAAATCTTCTGGAATAATAGTGTCACGTTTAATCGGTTATATAATCACAAAGTTCTACAGTGAGGTAAACCAGAAGGAACAACAAAGCATTAGGCTAGTGAAGATTACATTCGGGATGTTGGTTTGTTTTCTGTTCTGCATTGACACTTGGCATCTTGAGGCTAAAGGAAAATCAGAAGGCTGCTTGTGCAAAACAAAGGTGATCTCATTGATATTCATTCTACAGTTAATCTTGTTAGGAATTATGAAAGAAATGGTTAAACCATTGTTGGGAGAATACTTCTGTGACCAAGTACCAGATCAATCCATGCATCATCTGGAATTCACATTCAATAGCTTTGTGGAAGGATTGGGACGATTGTTAGCTGTGGTATGTATTCTAGTTTTTAGAAATTGGATTAGTGAGATCGCCGACAATAGGCATTTAGACATATACTGTAAAACATTGGCATTTATGAGCTTATGTGCCTTACTTTTGTTCGTATATCTATCCAATACACGTTATTGGAAAAAAGAGGTAGAGGATCATGATGATGACCATCTTGAGAAGTTGGAAGAGGGCAGTCTGAGCCTCAGCAGCAGCCAACCTTCGGAATCTCAATCTTCCTTTCTACACTCATCATCAGTATCACAATCCACAGCTTACTTCTCAGGTGATGAATCCATCTCTGCAAGTTCAGAAGCAGCAGTACTCCCAAACTTGGAGAGTGCAGGATCCTCTGTTCATAAAGACTACTGGTCAATTGTAAAAAGGTAATTATCCATATTTCTTTTAACTTTTTCTCCTCTCTTTTCAAACGCTATTACATTAATTTCTGATATTAAAAAGTATGAAATATCTAGGTACCAAAGATGCCATGGCTTTTTAAGGTACATCAATGAAAGCTTGGGGGCGAAAGAAAAGTCTAGTTGACAACCATTGCTTCACAAACTTGTTCTTAACTACTGAGTGGTTTCACTTTTGATGACTGTGATATGTTATTACTATTTTCTCATTTTGTGCTACTGTTTGAGTGTTTATGACCAATTATGTATAGATGTGCTTAATTGTTGAGATTCGTCATAATTGTTTCTTGTATCATATAGCTTCTTTTGTGAACTTTTGTATATATGACCCTCTATATTATGTATGGTTGTGTTTATGGGTCTTTAAAGTTTTGTTGTAATGTATTAATTCCAAATTGGTTAATGATAAATATTTTATCTGTGCACCTCAAACTTGGACGTTGCTTTAAACACCTCTAATTAATGGCAGCACTCTAATATATTACAAACCCCACTTGCAAATAAAAGAGAAAGGCATTACCACAGAAAAATTCAGCCTGAAATTAAACATCCAAATTAAATAACCCTCATTTCAACTCAGACCAGGCCTCCTCCGCTTCGTCTTCCACCACAGACGCCAAGAGCTTCTTATCCGAATTCCTCATCTAGCATTAATTTGCTCGGATTTCTCCTTGTTTCCCAGTCAACACGCTCAGTTGTCCCATCTTAATCATCGAATGCACGAATTTCTCAAAGAACAGCGTCTCATCAGCAGCAAAGCTCTTGACAATGTCCTTAGTCCTAGCATCACTGTATAGATCTTGGTCGGAGGTGAACAGCCCTGATGATTCATGAGGTTAACATAGTATTTGTTATCGAACTTGTTGGGGCTCCTGATGTCCAACACGTGCGGTGGTGTTGTTGGAGTTGGTAGTGGGACAAACTTTCTTGAGATCCTAGGCAAAAGTTCTATCCATGGTGGGGTCTTGGGTGGGCTAAAGACGGTCATCAAAGGAGCTGCAGTGACTGATGCCGACAGGAAAGAAATGAAATCGATGAAATTTAAGCCAATTAATATTTGAAAAAAAAAAGTAGTTGAAATTAGCATAAAATTGTGAGGAAATCGATGGGGCCGAAGTATAACTGTGCCACCGCTTGTTTCCCTTAGTAGCTTTGCCCAAAGCGAAAGAGTGAGAGAGGATGAAATCATTAAAATGGAAAAAATAGAAATAAAAATGATCTCATGTTTAATTGAGGAAGTAATAAAAGAAAAGAGTGAAGGGCCAAAAATGACCACGTGTGTGTTGGGTGGCCTAGTTGTAGTGAATAATAATGGTGTTCACATGCAATCCAATCTAATTTATTTGATTTAAATTGATCTAATATAATAAAAAAATAAATCAAACAAAAATAAAATTAAGTTGAGTTAAATTATAAAAATTTTAAAACTGATATAATTATTTTGATTTATAGTTTTATTTTCAAATCGCCTCAAATTACCCAATTACAAAATAAAACTTAACTATAACATAACTTAATTAAATAATAGAATATATTTTTTGTAGTATTTTAAAATTTCTTTTTCTTGTTTTATAAGATAATAATTCTATTAACTTAATTAAAAAATAAAAATTAAATATCTCCACACTCCCTCATTTACTTTCCTTCTTAATCTTGCATTCTAACCATAATTTTAAAGTTTTAATTCATCTACAACTCTATCCTTTAAAATTGATTTACGCCTTTACTCTTAAAATCTTAAATTTTTAATTTGTTCCTAAAATAATTTTTTATTCTCCTAACAAGACTTTAAAAAAATATTATTCTAGAAATCTTAAAACTATATAATAGAATTAGTCTTAATATTATATTATTTTTGGATGTTTGATTGAGCAGTTTTAAATCTTGATTATGAATGCTTCTAATCAATTCTAATGTTATTCATATCAAATTTTATTCACTTTTAATAGAATTTGAAAGATGGGATTGAATAATTAGTGCATTAAGGAAAAAAAAACTAATTTTAACCTTTAAAAATTACTTACAGTTTACTTAAAACTTGGAATCATCTTTTAGGTTAAAACTCCATTTTGGTTTCTAAACTATTGTATGGACCCCAATTTACTCCCTAAACTAAAGAAATCCTTGATTTAATCCTTACTATTTACCAATTTCACCTCGATTTGGTACTTCTGTTAAATATCAACCTATGTGTCCTGTTACTTAATGGGAAAAGGATGACATGTAAAAGCATTTTGACATCTAGGATGTATAACGTGGTAAAAAAATGAGATAGCAAGAAAAAACCTTAAAAATTTTCTTTTTCTTTTTCTTTTTTTTTCTTCCTTTGTTTTTCCTTTTTCCCTTTCTTCTTCCTCTCCCTTTCCTTTCACCTTCTGCAAACCCTAACATGTCATTTAGAGGAGAGAGGAAGGAGGGGAAGGGACAATGGTAGACAAGAGAGAGAGGTGAAAGAAAAAAAACATGAAAAATGATTTTGATATAGTTTTTTTATATTCTTTTTTTATTTAATTTGACATGTCATTTAAATGATGGGTGGTGTTATAAGAATAATTTTTTTATACCAATTTTTTATTCAACTTTCATATGTTCACATGTTATTAAATGAGTGGATGTATTTAATATCATAAATTTTATATGAATTAAAAAAACTAATATTTAAATGACACATTAGGTTGTATCAAAAGATGGTACAAAAAAAATATTTCAAAATCATTTCCTTTAAATGATTGATTCTTTTAATTCATGTGAAACATATTATATTGAATGTATCGACTCATTTAATGACACATAAAAGTTGTATGAAAAAATGATATAAAAAAATTATTCTTATAGCATCATCTAAAAAACATTTGCCATATCATCAAATAATAGGCTACCTAAGCTCCAACAAGTTAAAAAAAATGATTTTTGTATAATTTTTTTTGTCTCAATCTGACGTATCATTTAAATGATTGATTTTTTTAATCTATATGAGACTCACAATATTAAATGTATTTATTTATTTAATAACATGTAAAAATTATAATTAAAAGGTGATATAAAAGATTACTCCCATAGCACCAAAAAAAAAATAAAAATCCAACTCTTTCCCAATATCATTCCTGGATCCCACCAAGAAGTAGCTCATCGTTAGTTTGGACGGATTGCTTACGTAAGCTAACAAATAAGGGGTTTTTTGCCACCAACTACGAATTGAAGGGTTAATTTGCGTGTGAATTGACTCGAGAGGGTAATCTGCCACTGCACCAAAAGTTTAGGAGCTAGTATCCATGTTTTGCCCCCTGGTATTGGTCCCCGTCAATATTGTCAAAATCGAGATTCTAGCTAAAATTATTTTGGTTAAGTGAAATCGAAATCGTAAAATCGAATCGATAAAATTAAGATTTTATAAAATTTAATATATAATATATAATAAATTATATAAAATTAAAATTAAATAACAATAAATCAAATTTAAAATTAGAAACTTAAAATTAGCTAATTAAAATCTAAATATCCAACAACACAAATAAATTAAACGAAGAAGATGACTTAAATTTAGAATTTCATATGATTAAATCAAATTTATCTCGAATTCTCAATTAAAATGTTGATTTGTGGTTAGGTTGTGTGGGTTGTGGGCTTTTAAAATGAAAAATAAGCTTAATTTATGGATTATCTAGTCAAAACTCACTAATCCAAGATGAGAAACTCAAAAGAAAATAGATAAAAAGTCCAACTGCTAAACAAAAAGTAAAATCAAGATTTTACTTGATTTTACGGTAAAATCTAGATTTTACAGTAAAATCTCCAAATTTTATGGATTTCAGATTTTAGTATAGATTTTATACGAAATATCTTACTAAAATCATAAAATCGTAAAATTTTAAGATTTAAATCTAGATTTTAACAACAATAGTCCCCGTTAACTTTATTAGCCCTTCCCTTGAGACACGTGCAGTCCTGTCCCTGGTGTTGGTCCCTGTTAGCTTTATTAACCCTTCCCTTGAGAAACG